TTTTAGAGAGTCCTCACAACATGCGTCCTTGTGGTCATTTTACCTTTTTACCACATATGGACCTGCAAATTGGGCTGAGAGGGATGGGCCAGGTGTGGGCACCAGCATGAGCACCTTATCACCTGGTTCAAACGACTGCTTTACACTCTTTGTGTCATATAGTTGTTTCATTTTCCCTTGGGAAGCCGACAAAGACTTTCTTGGTATTGAACAAGCATGGTATAGACGTTCCCGACATTGTGTGACAAACTCAAGGACATTAGATTGTTTCTGAGTGTCGGCTGACAGGAGTTGCTCCTTCAAAACCTTTTGAGGTCCCCTTACACAATGAGCAAAAACAAGCTCAGCAGGGCTAAAACCAAGAGACTCCTGTTTAGCTTAACAGGCTGCAAACAACAGAAAAGGGAGTCCTTCATCCCAGTTTTTGTCTGTCTCATGACAATATTTGCGCATCATGGCCTTGATAGTCTGTTGTCATCTTTCTAGAGCCCCTTGTGACTGAGGATGGTAAGGACTGGAGGGAATGTGTTTAATGCCAAAAGACTGTAGTGTCTGCTTTAAGAGCTCGGGCTGAAAATTGCTGCCTTGATCAGTTTCTATAACTCTAGGCAGACCAAAAATTGCAACAAAAAAAAAACTTCAGAAGAGCTTTAGTTATAGTGGACGCTGTAATTTTTCTTAGCGGAATGGCTTCAGGGAAGCGAGTTATTTGCCAGTAAATCTAGCACTACATAAAAAGAAAAAAGAAAAATCATATTTTTATAGAAAATTAAGATATCAGACTTGACCATAAAACGTTTTAATAAATACAATATCAGCCTACTAAAATCATCATGTACCCTTCTGTATAAGCACTAAGTACTTTATTTAAATCTATTTTACTAATTGAGTGAGTTATTGCAAAAAATTGAAATTTCTTATCCAGGGGTGATGCTGAGAAACTAGTCCATGCATTTGTTACTTAAGGCTGCACTATTGTAATTCTTTACTATCAGGATTTCCACAAACTGTAGTTAAAAGACTTCAGCTGATGCAAAATGCTGCAGCCAGAGTTCTGATGAAAACTAAAAGTTAAATCATATGTCTTGTACCTTAGCTTATCTTCATTGGCTTCCTGTTGAATCCAGAACAGAATTTAAAATCCTCCTTCTCTCATATAAAGCATTAAATTGCCAAGTTCAATCTTATGTCAGAGATCTGATTGTTCCTTATGTTTCAAACAAAGCACTTTGCTCTCAATCTGTAGGTTCACTAGTGGTTCCTAGAAATCGTATACTTCACCACTATAATAAAAGTAAAGAGCAAAAGACCTGTAGCTGGCTTGGCAACCAATTTTATGAATAACGGTTGAAACTATGCATGGGATCGCAGGGAGGTAGGATTATGTGCCTTAGTTTTCATATGAAATGCAAAATTTTAAAATGAGTTTCATATAACCACCTAGCAACAGTCTGGCACAATCTGTTTTAGACCAGACAAGATGCTCTGACTAGATTTCAACAGTGGTTTAAAACACAATGAAAAAACATCTTTTGTCAATATTAGTTTTTTTATGGGTTTTGCTCTACAATCCTCTTTAAGATGCAGGTATCCATGTGGCTTCAGTGCATTTTCTAATATTTTTTTCTTCCACTCAACTTACAATCAATATATTTTTTTCCCTTCATTGGCTTCCTGTTGAATCCAGAACAGAATTTAAAATCCTCCTTCTCACATATAAAGCCTTAAATGACCAAGTTCCATCTTATGTCAGAGATCTGATTGTTCCTTATGTTCCTAACAGAGCACTTCGCTCTCAATCTGCAGCTTTACTAGTGGTTCCTAGAATTTCTAGAAGTAGAATGTAAGGCAGATCTTTTAGTTATCAGGCTCCTCTGCTGTGGAATCAAATACCAGTTTTAGTCTGTGAGGCAGACAAACTTTCTACTTTTAAGGCAAGTTTAACTGTTTCTTATTGATAAGGCTTATAGTTAGAGTGGCTCAGGTTATCCTGAGCTATCTCTATAGTTCTGCTGCTATAGGCTTAGACTGCTGGATGACATAGGGACTCCTTTTCATCATTCTGCTTCACTCTACCTACAAATGTAAATTATTTCCGTTTTCAAGAACAAAATTTGTTTTTTTTTATTTCAAATTCAAATCATTAAATCAACAGATATAAATGCTTTAATCATATCGTTCCATGTTCAATGAGACTGAATTATATTTGTAAAGGAAATGTACACCAAATGAGAAAAAAACACCAACATTTATTGAATTATCATTTGATTTATTGTTTAAATTCAAGGTTTTCAGCTTAACTACATCCAAGAGCTTTCAAATCGCCATTGTGAGCTCATCAACACCAAAGTGACAACAGTGTGACATCATCAGCACCATCATGACATCACTGCATCATGATGGGGTTCAAATTAATACACAGTCCATCGTGAAGCCTTTCAACAATAAAAGCATCTCGCCGTCAACCCTTTACAGTGGAAACATTGTACATAAACTTTGAGTCCAGCTTCAAATTTCTTTTAAACGGCTGCTTTAAAAACTAGCCAATCTAGAAAAAAAAAACATCAACCGCTTTACTACGGGATCTTTGAATAAGAAATAAGGATTTTTTTTTCTCTTTCCATTTTGGCTTAAGTTACATGACTCTGTACAGTGAGGATGATTTTAAAAATTCAATGGCAGTTCTAAATGTCCTGATATGACATGGTAACAGTACTGTGCGTGCTCAAACTAATGTTCTCCTGCCTCATTCTTTTGCTTTCTCTCCATATTTGTTACATCCACTGCAGGAAAGAAGAGAAAAGCAACTTTCTTCAAAACAAATTCTTACAGTAACAAACAGGGTCTACTTTAAAATTTAAAACATACTGTATTTGTTTCAAAAAAGAAATATCTACAGCAAAGAATCAGTGCATTTTAAATTAAAAACTTAAATTGACCTTAAAGTATTTGTCTTTTACGTCCCCGTTTCAGAGGGTTCAGTGCAGGTTTAGAAGCTGTAAAAAATTCAGAATTTAACATTCAATAAAAGTAATTGTTGTTCTCATCCTTCAGTGCAAGGAGTTCCCAAATATTGGAGCCCGTGACCCCCCGGACAAGTGATCCCAAAAATACAAATCATTAGTTTATCTCTTTATCCATATAAAGTGACCTAGTTATTTGAAGGTTTAAATAATTTTTAAAAAGACATTTCATTATTTAATGCATCATTTTAAATGCAGTTGTACATTTTATGTAATTTATATTTAACTATGGTACATTTCTGTATTTTTGGAACATTAATATGTATGTATTTTATATATATTTTGCCCTCTGTATACCTCTGCCATCACATCACAGTGATTGTGAAGACCATGACCCACCCTTAGGGTTCCTACCCCCAAATTTGGAAACCCCTGCTTTACAATAAGGCTGTTTTTAGATCAAGAGCAAATGGAAAAACAATCTAGAAAATAAGTCAACATTTCTTAATTTAATTGTATTTCCCCTAATGTAGGTAGGTAAACAAGATGTTTTGCCAATGGAATGATTATTTTTTACACTTAAAATAAGATAATTAGATAATATGCACTTGATATAAGACAATGCATTTTTTTTTTACTTATTTTAAATGTAAATTGTCTTGTTCCATTGGCAAAGAGTCTCACCTCAATTCAAGAACAAATGCACTTATTTTAAGAAAAAAAATATTTAGATTTCTATTTTTTCCAGTAAAGGAAGACTCTCTTGTTCCAGTTTTAACATAGGTGTGTACATTAACAAGGACAGAGTGCTTTTTCCAGCCTTATAATAGGAGCCAAAGATTTTTCCAAAGAACAGATCTCTCTTCGTGTCCTTCTGAATAAATAAACCTTATTGCACGTCAACATACTTTACAGTTTAGGAGTCTGAGCAGCTCAGTACATCACATAAAGTATCAGTTTTGCACTGATTAGGCACCTTTTTGCCTTTCAATGCATGTAAGCCAATCATTTCTAGTTTACCTTAAATCTACACTAATTGAAATTCTCAACTGTTATTTTTGACACCATGCTGTTTTCATGGTCACTAACTGGTGTTTATTGTATGGCTATAACCTCCTTCACTAACATCTAAATGATGAGAAGCCGTAAATACAGAGCACTCAGAATTTCTCTTCTTCATTGAAAAATAATACATTTTAGATATTCTTGCTAAGAAAAATATTGCATTAATCCCACTATTTTATGGCTATTAGTGTTTATGATGTGCCACAGAGATCTGTAATAGTGTTGGTTTTGTTCAACATGATGTAGGACTGTACCACGGAGCAGGATTACTGGTTAAACTCCATTTTCTGGTAAGGTTTAACACAATTAGACCAAATTTAAATGAAAAATATGTTCATACTCTGAAAACGAATATTAAAGCTCTATAGTAAGTTGCATTTTGCCCTAACAACCTGAACCCACCAACCTGGAAAAATCCTGTGAATATATTTAAACACTATTCTTGGCAGACATTTTAAAATTGATTTATATTACTGGATTCTCAGCTTGTAAACCTACTTTTTGTACAGTCTTAATTGTGGCCATTACATGAGCTTAAACGTAGCCTGTGCTATAAACAGTTTTTTTTTTTTTTTCTGTGTTTGGAATCTTGACCATTTAATTGCATCTAGCTGTTGATTTGAAGCTTTGCTGACAGGCTGCCTCTTCCTGAATTCCATTAACTCCACACATTCCTAATGTGATCAATTAGATTAGACTTCCTCTAATAATAAATCTGTTCTCTCGGAGGAATTCTATGGACTTAATTTTGTTCCATTATTGTTTTAATTGACAAATTTTTAAATGCTTAAAAAACTAAATAAAATGCAATCCTGAAATGAAACATCGTAATAATAAAAAATGTTTGAGAGTTTGTTTTTTTCTCTGATTTCATTTTTACAATATTTTTTTTTTTTCAGATTTTGTTAACTGATCTGTAAAAAACAATTTTAAAATCACGCAATTTGTAAAACTTATTCTGAAAAAGGGAAATTAAAAAGAAAAAAAAAGAAATAAAATCTGATAAAACAGCAAAGTTACTCTCAAAACTTTTTTTTAATAAAGTTTTTCAAAGTTTCATTTCTGAATTAAAAACTTAATTAAAAACTGACTAAAAACAGTCAACATGGACAATGCATTGGTGTTGCTGCAGCTTCTTGTTTATGACAGGCTGCAGTACAGCTGGCTGTGGAACTCCCTCACAGGATGATGCTTCCTCTACTGTGCTTGACAGCTGATGCAGAGTGATTTCTTTTGTAAACTTCGCTTTTACTTTGAACCAAATAGCTCTAGGTTTCTAGTTCAAGTCTCTTCCAAGAAATTCTATTCATCTAAACGGGACAGTTTGGTTCTTTTTCCAGATCATGGCGCAGTGGTGCTATATGTGAATATCTGAAACATAAAAGTTGTTTAATGATGCTGAATGCTCAAGTTAATCCTTCCCTTCATGTAGATCTTCCATTAGACTGTGGGACTTTCACATTTTTCAAAGTAATGTTCAATCCAATTATTTCTGTAAAATCCAAGAAAAACTACCTGCCTATTTAAATTACAGTCAGATTTCGTTGGGCCTTAGTTGAGCTCTGAGCTCTACCAGTTAAAGACTTTAGGTGTATTTATCATATTTAGCCTTTTATAGTAGAAACCTTTTAACATACGGTTTAACTTGTGCACCATATTTTTGTTTTCAGATTTCGATGAAGCTCTATAACTTAAAACTAAAATACAACAAACAAACAACAGATTATCATTAGATTTATCTTCATGATTAGAAATGATGGCATTACTGCCAGAGAAAACCTGCTTCGTAGTACAGATGATGCTGAAATATGTGAAACCTTCAGAAAGTCAGAGTTATAAAAGACAGTCTGACCATTCCTTAACCTAAAAATGAAGAAACTAAGGAGGGAAATGGCATTCGAATAATGTCCAGCACTTTTTTCCCCACGCTGCTTGCATAAATCTCTTCATTAAATCATCTTTTATTTACAACAATTCATGAGATCCTTATCAAGTCTGGCTCCTCAGAGCCCAACAAGTCTTTTGGACACTCCTTAATAAGAGTCCAAACATTAAACTCCAGGTTAAGAATACAAAAAAAAGTCTGAGATTGTTATACAGTAGAATACGGTAGACAGCTTTCAAGTAAAACAGCTTAACACTGATGTAATCACACGATAAAGGAAAATCGGGTCAAACTACAGCTGAAAATCATTCTAACGAAGCATTATTAGTGGTTGCATGTTTTCAGTTCGACCCCGGTGATGAAAAACGGACAGAAACTGCATCATCAGATGATCAACAGAATGTCGTGAGAGATTCTTCTTTTTGTTACTGAATCTACTGAAGCAAAAATGTTTATTTTGAAAGTTTAGAAAAAGCCATCATAACCACAAACGACTAAGCCGCCGATTTCTCTGCCTCAAAAAAAAAAATGGAACACATCTTTTTGCTTGAAAATATTTGAATAAGCGAGTGACTAAGCGACACCCACAGTTTGTTTTGAACAGTAATCCATTGATAATTATCAATGCACAAAAAGATAAGACGAAAGCACACAAATATCCAAAAACTAAAAGTAAGACAGCTCAGGATCAGAGAGATTTTTTTTTTTTTTTTGTCGTTGTCGTTCTTTTTTCCTTTTTTTTCCTCACCTAAGTTCAAAATACACATATTAACCAGCTGTATAAGATTTACAGAGGGATTTGGGTTCATCAAAAAAGCACAGTTTTATGTCAGTTCAGCTTTCCTGGCTTTATGGTGGACCTTAAGTCCAGGACAGTTCAGGTCCAGTCCAGACCAGCCTGGTTCATTGCTGAGGAGTAGAGACGGCCTTTGCTGGGGCAGTAATACTAATAACTGTGTGCCATCATGTGCTGGGAAGATGGCAAGTAATGCTGGAGTTTTTTCACACCGTGCCGTATTCCCTCTGTTTGTTCACCCTGCAGGAAGCTCCGCTCAGCTTCACCAACCGGTATGAGGAGCCTCTGGTTGTAGAGCTGGGGGAGATCCAGAGGGGCCAGGACGTACTACAGAGGCCAGAGGCAGCTCAGAATACGGACAGAGAAAAATATGGCTGAGGTGGTCATTGGTAAAGAGATTAAAGAGGAGAAAGTGAAAGATTTCCTGGGGCAGAGGAACTGTGGAGCACCTAGCCGTGTTCTCAGGTACTTTGGTGAGGTGGAGGTCAGGGAGGATGAGGGAGAGGAATCTAAAGAATGCCTTCAAAAGGGAAGAGGTCATCTAGCCTTAAAGATGCCTGCAGGGAGGAAAAGGATGAAACGAAGCTGTGAAAAGAAGAACATCAGAATGAAGATAAGGATGTAAAAAATGTGTAAATATATTTTCACCAGTTTCAATAATCAAACAAAGAATTCACGAGTGTTGTGCAGAGATTTTAAACCCCATTTTATCTGTTTTTCATTTTCTCTTCTCCTGAGCAGGGTCTACAGAAATGAATAAAAGATGTAATTTAAGGAAAACACTACAACTAACTAAAACTGTACTGTGCATAAATAAAACTGACAAAAATGTCCTTAAATATTCAAAATACGATTTTTGTTTTCATGCTTATCAATTTCTCTTATAAGTTTTGCAAAGTGGTGTTTTTTTTTCCCTCACAGTATTCAGTCAGCTGTTTAAAAAAAGTAGTGTCTGTTGTTGAGTTTGTATTACATACATTGTTTCATAAATATACAATACCCTGACCTTTTTAAATCCTGCAAGTAAAATTTCACAAAGTACAAAAAAAATAAAACCGGTACAAGAGCTGATCAAAATAATCCAAAACTAAGCCTTATTAAAAATTAATAATAAAAATTAAGGCAATTATTTTAGAAATGATTAAAACCAACTGAATAACAGAAGAAAATAGTTACAACTTAATCAAACTAAAATAGATTGAAAAGTCCCAAACTATTAGAACCTGGCTAATGAGTTTTACTTTTTTGAACTTTAATAAAATGGTCGTAAACAATCAGGGGTTTCTAAAGATCTCTTACAGGTTTCAGTCACACTTGATAAACTGTCCCCATCCCTGTAAAGAGCTGCTTAATCTGTGAAATGAAATACATTTTTGGCCATATTTCCCAAATTGTATTTTACACAAACACATCACTGCACTGCATTTAAAGCTAGAGCCCAGGTTGAAGCAAGGGGGTGGAGAGGCCATGATGTGGGGTTACTTTCTTCATTTGGAAGAAGAACTTTAAACAGAAGTGATCGAAAGCTGCAATACGTAAATATCAAAGTTGCAACATCAAATGAGCAGGTGCTTAATTGTTTAACTATACCTTCAGGCTTTAAACAATATATTTACTACCAAAGATAAATACAAAATCTACACAATTTTAAAGCTTTAAAATAAGTAAACAAGAATTGGAAATCTGACCCACCAAATCACAGAGTTATTCTGCTCTCTCACCGCAGCCATCTTCAGCAGATGGTCTCAAGATGACGCGAGTTCTGCAGAGATCAGGAGAATAACAAGAAAATTAAGGAAAACATCCCATTTTAAAATCCTTGAAGAGCACACTGCACACGGCTCACTTTGACTTTAGGGCATTACAGATATTTACAATACAATGAAAAAGAATTTACCACTAAGGGCTTTTTATTTTTACTCTTTTTTTAAATAATTAAACATTTTTATATCAGACGATGAAAATCTGATTTAGAAATTAGGTTATTTACTTAGACAGAAATGTCTGACTTAATAAACTTGCTCTAGATGGGAAAATGTAAAATGTAACCACACGACCCCAATGTGCAGAAGTTTAAAGTACTAATCATGTAATGACAAAAAAAAGTCATTTCAGAGAACCTACTTCCACCTACATTGCCTTAAATACAGGCAACAACACAAACATGGTAAGTGGATCAATCACAGAAATAATAGTTTTGCAAGGATTTGTAGAGGATTTCTCACCACACTCTTCACCAGAGACAGAAGAAATTTACAGTGGAGAACATTGGCATACACATTACTACACATGACATTATTTTCCTTGAATGCTGCATTATTTAAAATGAACCACAAAGTAAAAGTTTAACTTTTCTCTCTTTGGTCTACAGAATATTTCACCAACAGTCATGAGAATTTTTTTTAAATGTAAGACAGGTTTGTGTTTTCGGCAATAAGGAATATTTTTAGTCTTAGGTCTCTAACTGATGGAATTTAGTCTCTTGCTTATTGTTGAAATAATAAAGACTGAGCCTAACTGATGACAGTGACACCTGCAGTTCTTTAGCTGTTATTATGGATACTGCTGTGACCTTCTGGTTCAGTAGAAGTCATCAATGCTTTCTTGAGCCTATTTTTGTAAACAAGCGACTCCTGATTAGTTTGCTACTAATCAGACCGATAGATATCACTGACTCTGTTTATAATCTCTTCATTACCTCCTATTGATTGGGGCATGCTGTCTCAAGGGCTCTTTAAGCCTACATCATGTTGCCGGAAAGGTTCTACATAAGGAGTTTCTTTAATTTAAAGGTTTGCTAGTCGTTAAACTTCAATGCAGCAAATTAAATAAAAAAATTTCTTATTCACAGTCCTTTTATGATTTCAGAAGTTTTTGTTATCCTGTGGTCTGGCTGCTTTGGATAGCTTAGTGCCTTAAATAGCAGCCATTTTTATTTAAAATGCCTTTTTATAATTTTAGGGAACCTTTTTCATATTTTTTATATATGTTTATATTCATTACCTGACATTTTCATGTTTGATCATAAAAAGGCAGAACATTTTTCAGATCATTTTCTGTTTCTTACAGGAGTGTCGTTCCATTGCCGTGGTAAATCTTCAGGTTCGGGTGGGTAGGACATCCAGGAGGGGCTCCTGTACGAGGACGGAGGAGACATGACGAAGTAATCCGAATAACCCGGTCGGTTGGCTGATATAGCGTAGACTGCCGTGATTGGGTTTCCTGTCATGATAAAATTTGTACTATAAATAAACGTGACATTTATTCTTCTCTCTCCAGAGTTTTGATCATGTTAACATTGTGTCTTGCCTGAGTAGTTGCTGATGGACTGATCCACAGTGACAGCAGGGAAAGGTGTCCTGGCCAGCGGCAGATAGGGGGCACCGTTGTGTTGCTGGGTCTGCAGATCTGATGCTTCAGATACACGGGGCTTCAGGCTGACGTCAGGGGTGGAGCTGTTACTGCAGAAGAGACACTAATGTCAGCTCTAAACAAAAAACCATAAACAACCATTGGAGAAAAAAAAAACCTTCATCTGACGATGACAGCTTTATTTATTAACAGCAGGAGATTGTTACACTGCATTGTCACAGACTATACAGAGGATATATTAACATACATATAGATACATACAACAATGTGGACAACATAAAAGGCAAAGTATCCTAGCATTGTTAAAGTGCTTAATCATATTGTGGTGTTCCCAAAGTATCCATCTTAGTGTCCGTCCTATTCAGTACCTTCATGCTTCCCCTAACCCAGATCCCATGCACCTTTTTCTTCCTTTTTGGTACCTTCTTCTTCTCCTTTTACTACTTGAGCTGATGTAATGAGTAAATTTCTCCAATATGAGATCAAGAAAGTCAATCAATCAATCAAAAACAAACAACATAAGTTACCATAGTGATGCAGACAACACCCAGCTGTACTATAAACTACGAACCCATCCCAGCTCTGGGTGGTAAGAAGGAATCAAAGTCACAGGAGGAGCGTTTAAAAGTTATCACGCAGCTTCAGTTGCTGCGTCTTCACAGGTCTGCCTAGAAAGTGGATCGGACAGCTGCAGCTGATCCAGAATTATACTATCTGCGTCCTCACTAGAACTAAGAAAATGGAGAACATCAGCCAAGTTCTAAAGACCTTCTTCACGTTTCTCAGAGAATAGACTTTAAAATCCTTCTGTTGGTCTACAAATCACTGAATGTCTTTGCTCCAAAATACATTATAGACCGTTTGGCAGTGGATCGACAGTCAGACCTCTCAGGTC